TTTCCTGTCACGTCGTAATTGCGTTTTGTTTTCTGGTACACAGGATTAAATCCCAAACCCAGAAATGAGGCAGGTTTTGTGCGTGGAGCCCGTCATTTTCATCTACATGTTTGCGTCTTCCTTGACAAGCCCGCTGGTGCAGCAGTTCATCTACCGGCGGCTGTGGGAGGAGGAGTACAACTCCACGTTCGTAAGCGATAGCAATGCCAGTTACTGTGAACAGAATAAAAGTAGCCCGACTTATATCAAGCAGAAGGTAAGAGGGGAGAAAAAAATACGATTGTAAATAAACTTGCAGCCATTAGGTGCTATCTCAACGTAACCTCCTCTTACATAACCTTACTTAACCTTTTATATATAGAAAAGCGGTAGTTTTGTGAACTGCTGTCACGTTACTGTCTCATTGCTCTGGTGTTGCGCCGTAGGTAGTTGTAGTGCTTTAAAGACAAAGATTTGTCTCCAGGAAGATGCTGAGGTAAATTCATATTTTAACAGGAGTTGAAAATCATCTCAGAGGATTTGGCCCAAATTGGCATTGGCCTGACATTACAATGGGTACCGCTGAAGGCTCCTCCTTCCAGCAGGAGTTGTGAATGTGTTCATGAGCCATCAGTTGTCTCTGTGACTTCCAGTGCTCTCTGTAACTATGTAAACTTTAGCAAATGTCCTGTAATTTTCAGGAATAAGATCTAGCTTGGAATACGTTTATTTGAGAGGAATTAAAAGTACGAAGGGGGGGGGGGTTAAGATAAAAAATTTTGTATTTTTAAAATGTGAAAAATTATTTAACTGATCTTTGATCAAACATAATTGATGATTTACCATTCATAGCAGTGCTAGTCTGCCTTGTTGAAATATAAAGATGGCAAGATGACAGCATCCCATGGTCAATTACATTTTTAGCACTTTTTCATAGTTCAGCATGCTGGATAGCTAGTTGTTGATTGGAACCTCTTTCCTTGCACTTCCAGTGCAGTTTTAATGGTACGCTTAAGCAGAACTAACTGTGGGTTGCCAGCAGAAGAGACGATCATACTCCATTTTCCTTTCCCCTCTCCGCCCCCGTTGTTCCCCCCATGTGTTGAATCTTGCAATTCCACAGTTAGAGGCTACAGTTTGGATTTGATATGGGTACTGATTCAACAGAAAGCTCATCTCCTTTTTGAGTTTGTTGATTTTTGAGTATTGTTGTTTTCTGAAGCAATGCACTGCTCTGACACACTCTGGCCACATGATTGCTGTATCTAACATGGGGATGGCAGAGGGAACATATTTGCAGAAGAGGTACGACAGAACCATCCTTGGCAACAACAACTGGCAGTTAGGTTAGATTAAGTGGAACATCAAACCACTGTAGAGTCAGAAAAGTAGATGACTCAGACTGTAAATTACACAGAAGATGGAGTTACGGAAACAGTCAGCTGGCATTCCCCTATGCTGCTGAAAAGGTGGCACCTGAAAATTTTCACTCACATCCCAGATATGAATCTCTGATGTGCTGCATGTGCACAAGACTGAACACCTAAGCTTATCTACTTCATTTGTCATATATAGAAGAGTTTTTTTAATGGTACATGGTTCCATTGAAGATGATCAAAGAAATAATTCAGGATTTTTAGCGTGGACTAGGTTCTTCCTCATGTGACAGAAGCCGGTCTTAGTAGAAAGAATGTGAAAGTAGAAAGGTCGATAGAATTGTAGTCCAGTGTGCTTTCTGGGCTGACCCATCAGCCGAGGAGGGTAATATATGCCACCCATAGGAATTAATTTGGAGATAATAACCGATTATTGTCTGAGTAATGCTTGTATGTTACTCCCCGAAGTGTTTTCTTTAGTATTAGCTCCCCGTTTGATGCTGTGTGTGGGTGTTTTGTCATACGGTGTCATGTGTCAATAGGAGGAGCAACTCTAAGAAAACCATATGCGGTGCATACAGTTCTAGTTGCAGAGCCCATCAAGAAACCTACATTTCACAAACATTTCTGCACTTCGCATTTGCTAGAAAGCCCCCAAATTCAACCTGATTTTCAAATTGTGATCACCTATGCTCAGGATATAAGACTTCGTATTTCTTTTTGCAAAGCACTGAAGCAGAGTGCTTAATTTCAGCTGAAGTTTAGATAGCGTCTCTGATTGATGTGGTGGTGAATTCACACATTACAGTTTTTTTTGGCATCAAGGATACAAAGTATAATTAACTTGATATTTGAGAACATGAATCCTTCAAGATGGTAGTTGAATAATGGCCGATAGAACTTCTTAGTTTCCCCTTCCTGCCAAATTTCCATTCCCTCCATTTCAATGATTGCCAGCAGGGCATGAGCTTCTGAACAATCATGCTCTTGTCTGGACATCTCACCTGCATTTTGATACCACGCTTGTTACCATAGTATAAGAATGTAAAATGCTGAAAACACCCATCAATTTCAGTGGAACGTGGTCCCTGTGCTGAGTAATAATCCTGTGTATGGGGAAAAGAGTGGATCCAGTAACGCAGTTCCAAGCCCTTTGCTGAGGATATGTGAAGTAGGTGTTCTGGATTTTCCAAGACCATCCTAACTGACTAATGCTTACAGATGCTGTAAATTTTGCTGTCAGGAGTGTTCCCAACAGGCCCTGTTTGGCATTAACTTTTAGAAGAACACCTCCCTTAATAGTTAATTTAGTATAAGTCCTTCCATTCTGAGAATGGAGAAGCTTTTTACTAATCATCTCACCTATTTCAAAGCAAAATGTAAAAGGAAGTTGAAGACAAAAATCACTTGGAGCCTGCAAAAAAGTAGAATGTAGTTCAAAATGGATAGTCTTTGCAGCATTTAGATTAATTATTTCTTACAATTTGAACGAAATTAGTCATTTTATAATAAAATGAGTTCAAAGGTAATTTGAATACAAGCTGAAGCATTCCAATCACTGGCTTGGATAATCCTTTTTTTTTTAGCTCAGAAAGAGTTATATTATTAATCATTAAACATTATTTATCATCCAGTTTATTTATTATCCAGTCCATGCATTTTCCTTTGCTACTCAGTAATATTTTTTAATTTTATGAGCCTGTCAGTTTATCATGTCCTGTACATTGTTCAGCCTCAGGCACGACACTTTTTTCTTAGTTTAATCCTTATATAAGTGAATTGCTTCTTCATTTTCATTCTTTTAATTTTGAAATCTGTGATTTTAAGAACTATTTCTGTCCACCGTGAGCATTTTTTTCAGAGTAGAGTGAATTCGCATATTAAAAAACGAGACCTTTCTCTTCAAATTTATGTAGTTCCATTGACTTTAATAGAGTTACATGATTTTAAAGCAGCTGCAGGTCTGACCTATCATTTTCTGTATTCCTTTCCATTGACTTTATAAAAACATGAAGTGGGCAGTTGAGTGCTTTACAGGCTAAATAGAGTTTTTCTGTCTTTTAGTCTTCTCATCAGTAGACAACAAGTCATTTATGTCTTTTGCGGTATCTGGATGTGTTAAAGCTACGTTCTTTATGTTGCACATCTACTTCCAAAACAATGAAACCCAAGTCTTTGTTGTTTTATTCCTCCAGTTTAACACTTCATTATGGTTTGCCAATAATATTTGTATTGCATGGTTAATGTGGGTTGAGATGATATATAATAACATCTAGTTTTATTTCCAATGTATTAGCATTTCTTTGACGCTCATGTCTTTGAAGCTGATGATGCTAGTAAAGAAGCAATGCCTGCAACTACATAGAGTTCTCTTTGTCAGCAGCGGAGGAGTTAAAGATCAGAATATCATTTTCCATCTCGGTTTGTTCAGTCTTCATGGTTTTGACCCTTCCAGGGTGACTACAATGCTGGCCAGTGGACAGGACATCATGAATCCTAAGGTAGTCAGACACCATAAGGGAAAAGAGTAAAAGACACTAGCATGCTGGGGATCTTGAGGGCTTTCCTTGAGGGCCTCGGGATCAGTTGAATTTTCCTCTTGCAATAAAACCTGGTTATCTTGTAAACAAACAAAGAGATTGAACTAGAAACTTGTGGTCTTTGCCTGTAAATACAAATATGAATTTATAAAGCATTCAGCAGCTTTTAAAATTGCCCAAAGTACGTTCCTGGGTATTCTAGGGTTTTTTCATCTTTTGATGCTACTCAGTGGGGATTATGTTAGCTACAGAGGAAACACCTGAAACGTGGAATATAGATGGCTTGAACACAGGCTGAGAATGGCTTGGGGAGACTTATACGGCTGTACATGCTACTGATTGAAGAGTGCAACCCCTGCCCAAGTCAGTGTGACGCCACAGAAAACTTGAAGAAAACTTTCAGAGTGGCTTTACTCTCTGCATCTGAAAGTTTTTCTTATAAAGGATTTGTGCAAATTAAGGTACTTCCTTTTCCCCTGCTGTTTTTCTGTCTGATCAGGTGCTTGTCTTTGAAATGCCTGCTGTGACCACTGTCTGTCTAGCCTGCATCGATGCAATAAAAGCAAGATCTGAATTAGCTTGCTGAGCGTCATTTAGCAGCTGGCTTCATAACAAGATAGTATTTTTTTTTAATTGACTTTTCTTTAGTTCTTTTTTCTATGGCCATTCATCTTCTCTTAACTGTTTTTCAGCTACATTTGATTTTTGTACTTCTGTTAAAAAGAACGTAGAAATTTTTCCCATAACGGGTGTTCATTGTTGTAGTGTTACCTGCTGTTCCTTATGTGAATACCTGCTGTAGCATATCTATAGAGAGATCACCGATTCGGACAGTTTCTGAACTCAGAGCTTTCCAGTGTTTTAAAAATTAGTTAATTCACCTATCTGTGAGTCGGTATAATTTTTAATGCTGTGTTTCACATTTGTGGTTGCTGTTGTTATTAACATTGTACGCTGGGATGTCAGAGCAAATCCTGATCTGTTTACTTGTACAATGTGCTAGTCAGTGAATTGTTTCTTTGTAACCCTGTCGGTAGGATTATTTAGGAAGAAAAATTATCTCCTGTGGGTAGGGAGCATGGGGTGTGTTCCTCAGTCAAAGACTGTTTCACTATGGATTTCTGAGAGATTAAAATAGGCCCACTGTACTTTTGCAATACCCTGTGCTGAAGGAGGATACTTGCAGTATAAGCACCAGTTCTTGTAAATGCATGCTCAAGAGAATTGTTCTCTTGTCTCCGTTGAAACTTCTCTGTCAAGAGTACTAGTAAGACTCTATCTTAAGAAATAAGTTCTGGCTTAAAATGTAACAAGGGATGTTTGAGGAATACTGAAGGTAAAATTACAAAAGCAGGCGTCTTTGCATATGCAATTCCTTTGTATTAGTGATTACTGTAATATGCATTCTTATAAACAGTCATGTGCTGTTTTTTATTATAGCATAATATATTCTTATATAATGTCATATACTCTTATACAATGATATTGTATATATTACGTTTTATAATAATTTGTAATATATAAAGATGTATTGTGCTATACATTGCATGCTAATCATTATGTAAGTGTCGTATTATTATAAATTATATAGTTGGGTTTTTTAAATGTATTACAGTATTTACGATTTTTTTTGTTTTCTCTTTGCAGGAAGTTCAAGAAAAAGCCTCTGTTTTTAATATGCAGTTGGACTTAACTGGGGCAGCTCCCAGCCTTATAGTTGCCTTTGTCATTGTAGCTAATGGGGATCGCCAGGGACGCAAAAGGTCTTTAGTTTTACCATCAGTGGGAGCTTTGATTGCTGATATTTGCCTCACTGTAATATCATATTTTTCCTTGTCACTCTCTATCCTATTTGCGGTTGCATTTATTACTGGACTGTTTGGGAGTGTGGCAACTTTCCTTGGAGGAGGCTTTGCTTTTATAGCAGACGTGTGTCACGATGAGAAGCAGAAGACAACACGAATAGCTGTGGTGGATTTGATTTTTGGAGTTGTATCTGGATTGGCAGGACTGTCATCTGGCTACTTTCTAAGAGGAATAGGCTTTACATGGACATTTGTGACGGCATCTCTGCTTCATGTTGTTAATATTATCTATATTATATTTCTTCTGGAAGATACAGTTGGCATATCTGAATTCCAGCACCAGGCACCAGTATCTTGTAAAGAACTTCTGAGAGAGACATTTTCTGGAGTGTACATGCTTTTTAAAACTGCCCCTTATAAAAAGAGAATTTTAATCACTGTGTTACTTTTTACATTTATGACTTACTTGTTTACTATGGTTGGTGGGAGTTCACTTTTTACACTGTATGAATTGGATGAGCCACTCTGCTGGAATGAAGTATACATTGGATATGGAGCAGCTGCGTTCACTTCTGTCTCTCTGACCAGCTTTTTAGGAGTTTACTTATTTTCTAAATGTCTCAAAGACATTTATATTGTCTTTATCGGGATATTTTCTTACATTGGAGGAATGGTCATGGCTGCCTTTGCCAAAACTACTCTGCTTATGTTTTTAGGTGAGTTCAGAATCAGTTGTTCCGTGGTCAACAATGTATGTGAAAATACTGCTATGTTATCTGTAGTGAGTACAGTTGGTAGATATTGGACGTACCATCTTGAAAGGGTCATAGAGAGGTAAAATACACAAGGTTGAGTCAGACTGATTTAGGATTTAATTAAAAGTGAAGTGTGCGGAAAGAGAATGGAATTACTTGCTTATGATTTGGTTTTAGTACCATACAGCTATATTGGATTTATTAATTTCTCTGTGCTTGGATAATTGTGTCTCAGTGCACATCTAGTTTGACTTTTCTATTGCCCTTTACTATTTGGGGAACTGAGCATTGAAAGTATATGACTAATTCGTTTGCAATGTATTTGTAAAATTCTGGATTTTTATTACTTCAGTGTCTCATGACTGATTCATTGCTTTACAGTAAGAGTGCCATCTTTGCTCTGCTTTATGCCTATTCCTGTTCTCCGAGCCATGCTGTCAAAAGTGGTTCTCACTGGTGAACAGGGTGAGTAGAATTTGTTTTTAAACAATACAATAATACGGTGTTTCAGAACAGAGATGCATCAAGATCCCCTTTAAACAAACAGATACGTATTGGTATTTTAAGACTGCTTGTCTTTCAAGTTCCATATAATATGACCCTATGTCATGATATTAATGGCTTTTGATTCTGAATTTAAACAACATTGTGTTTAAAAACTACTGCAAGTTTCAACCTTCAAAGGAAATACTGCTCTAAAAATAAAGACCATGGGGAACTTGAAGCAGAGGAATGCTCAAGATCTGTACAGATGTGATTTCACAAGTGCTTCTACATTCACAAATATTTGACATGCAGAGAAAGATATATTTCTGTTATTTAGTCAATGTCACACGTAATAATTTAGAAAGGTAAGCAGTAGGTGGTCAACCTTCAGAGCACTTGAAAACACTTAGACTTGGATCCTGAGCTGTGTCCGGCTTCACGGGTGCCTGTGGCTATTTAAACATGTCCCAAAAGATATAACATATTACTTCTCAAAGTTCTTTCCTTATGGAACACAGAAAAAAGCATGTCAGGCCTCAGAATGTGACTCTAGTATCCCATATTTTGCTTTTGGGGAGCATATACTTTCTAGAAGCATTCTCCTGAGTTGTTTGAGTTTATTTTTTAAAAGACACTAAAACAAAGATCTCTTTGTACTTGACTATGCTAACATACACCTCTGTTTTTGCAGTTTCTTGGCATTCTTCAGGGCTTTGGCTACTTAAGTAGTTTAATGCAGGAATCAGGTTGCTTCTTGTCATCCTTTTCTGCTTACCTATTGTGATTTTGTTTATGGTCCCGTGAATATGAATGCGGTTTGGGAAAATGTGTTCAACAAGACACTGATGGGGTGGACTGCCACCTCAATGGGTAGTTCAGTGCAAAAATGTTGTTTCTTTCCTTTCAAAAATGAGGAGGAGATGATTAGGTGCTAAACCAGCAGTCTTTGTTGGATCAGAGCCTTTTCCACATATAAGAGTGAAGATTAGAGAAGGAAGAAACAAGAAAGGGAAGAATGAGAATCGAGAGGAGAATTGGAAGGGGTAAGGGATGGACATATGCAGAATATGGTTAGTGAGGATAAACAGTTTGAACGTCATGTGATAAGCAGATTCAAGAAAGTAGGTACAGTCACAGAATAGTAGCAAAGAAAAATAGTTTCCATCAGCAAAATGTTGTTATTGTTTTGTTTTTTTTTTTTCATTTAAAAACCAAGTCTTTTGTAGGAGTCTCCACAGAAGACACTCCCATAACAAAGACATATGATACTTGGGTGCTCGTTATTTGGCGTACTTGCTAAAATACTGTAGATAGATAGATCTTTCAAAACAAGTTTAAAAACTTCAGTACTTGGAAGGGGTTTTGGTTTTATTTTGATTTGTTTGTAATTCATCCATTTGTCTTTGGCAGGTGCTGTGTTTGCTTGTATTGCCTGTTTAGAAGTTGTGACCGGCACTATTTCACTTTCAGTTTTTAATATTATCTATGCAGCTACTGTTGCATGGTTTTCAGGCTTTAGCTTCCTCTTATCGGCAGGACTTTGTCTAATTCCACTGGCTGTCCTGTGGTAAGTACGGACCAGGAGGGTGCTTCTGACTGCTTTTACCGGTAATTTCTGTTTTGACATGAGTTGAAGCTGAATGGTTTAGTGCAGTAGTTCTCAAACTTCAGTATTTTCTAGTGTGCTTGGCTTATTTCGTGTGTAGCTTTCCCTCCAGCTTCCACCCAGTTCAGGAACTGCTTATACCTAGCAAGCCTATGGAAGGTACAAGCAGCTGCTAGGAGTGGGGCAGAGCTGAAACCAGGGGACGTGGCAGTGTCTTCCCCGGGGGGCTCAGATAGGAGAGAGGGAGCCCAGGCTATGGGGGGCTGCTTTCTCTCAGCGAGGCTTGTGTCCAGTCTCTGAGAGGAGTGGCTCCGCGGCTGCTGGTAGCTGTAGTTTCCTGTTCTTCCCCTCTTCAACACCTACTCCCCTACACCTTGCTGGAGTTTTTCCATCATCAGCCCTGTCTGGCCCTGATCCAGCCACCTCCCTTCAGCTCCTGTGTACTTGTCACCTAATTCCACCAAACTGAAATCTACCCTGAGTGTACTACTAGTGGGATACACTTTACTCGACTGCATGTGCGTCCCTTCCCTTGGTTTGAGAACTTCACACGTGTCCCTGAGGAAAGCCTTTGACAAAGAACAAAAGTAACAGATCACTTGAAAGGCATGAGCTTAGTTTTGCAGTCTGAGCTCTTCCAGATGCTAAAGAGGGTTGTAAACATGACCAATGACCCAGTGAATTTAATGGAAAGTTATCTGTCCTAGTCCTTGGTCATGGGTACCTTGTGACCCAGTGCCATCAAAATCTGTAAAAGATCTGCACTAACTTTAAGCCCCGTATGAATAAGCCTCTAGACATGTTTAAAAAAATATGCCTCTATAGCATTTGCGTCTAACCATATCTAGTGACCATCTAGTAATACTGGCAGTAAAAGGTCATTTTATTCATGAGTATTCGCAAAAGCAAAGTTCACTTTACATTATTTCCAATATGAATTATGTCTTTTTAGGATGCTGGAACATATATCTAAATGACAGAAGGATCACTTTCCATTAGATAGATTTATATTCAGAGGGAAAAAAGCTGTTTTTCTTAAGAGGGTGGTACTCTTGCTGGAGACTTCTATCTTTTTTCCTAATGCTTAGACTTTACCTCAGTCACCTTTTATCTCTACATCAGCTGCATTTTAAGTTTTAAATAGGCAGTGATAATGCTGTATATTTATAACATTTCACATAATTTCAAGTCTGTGCCTGCCTGACTACAGTGTTTTACACAGTCTATTCAGAGAAGCTGCACTAATGGTAACTTAAGACTAAGGTAGTGATGGGTCTCAGACCTGAGGGAATTGAAGCAAAGGGGTCTTGTGCTGAGTGTGGAGAATACTTTTCAGTAAAGTAATAAAAAACTGAGGAATTCAATTATATTAACAAAGGCCCAGTAAATACTTCTGTTTTATTAAATATTAGTTTTAGTTTAGTTCAGTGCTGTATGATAGAGAAAGTTTCTGTTAAGAAAGCACTCTATTCTGTGCAAAAGGCAACAGATATTTACCATCAATTAGTCTACCCTGCAATCAGGACTGTAGTCCATCATCACCGTAAATTTTTGGAAGTTATTCTTCTTTTCCTTCTGTCATTAGTGTCTCAGATATCCCACCCATTGAATAACCTTTCTCTAAAACCTTTCTTTTGAGAGTGTCATGCAATGTTACTATTTGAGAGCAGAAAGGGTAGTTGTTCCAGTCTGTAATAAATCAGGCATAGTAGTTTAGTACTTATCAAAGACAGCAGTAATGATGTTGTCTAACTTGTGTAATAGGGGCAAGTACCATCATTGCTTTTGTTTACTAAGATACATCAACAGCTTTGTGCTACAGAAGATGGCTGTAACAGAGCTATTGGATGTGTGTGTTGGTGCTGAATCAGCATGCTATACTTAACTATCTCAGCTAAAGATATCTGTCTTATCTGTGTCTTACAGCTGGCTTCTGTGCACAAGCTGGAATGGGGAGGACTTGGCTCTGCTTGTACCTGAAGAAGTATCCAGTATAGAGAGCGTTGACAGTTGAACGAAGGATTCACCTACCCGCGTTTTCTAATCTGGCATGCAGTGGCAGAGACCGTTATGTCATATAGAGACCATAGAGATAACACAAGAGTTGCAGATGCAATCTCAAAGTGGCCCTGCAGCAATAAGCACTAAATTGGTAGCACTCTTTACCCAGTCTCTTTTTAGCACTTGAAAAAACTAGCTCTTATACTTAACTATGCAAATAGGCTGGCAATGGAGATTTTAATGCTGCTTTCAGCATGAAGAAAAAAAATAAGGTAGGATGATACTCTTTCAGCTGTGGATTGTGATACATCTTGTATCATTCGAAGTGGGGCGACAGAGATAAGCTTATCAACTCAGAGGGTGCTGGCAATTCTGCTGAAGCCAGCGGAGCTCATGCCAGCTGAGGACGCGGTCCACTGTGTACATCTTAAAAAGCCTGTCTTAATGGTGAAGCCCCCAAACCTGTCTAAAATTACTAAACTAAAAGGTACTTTTTTCAGAAAGCAACCAAACTGGAGGCAGTACTTGTGCCTGCTGTAAGTAGACTTATTGCTCTGCAGTTAGCAGAGAGTTTTTGAGCAAGTTTAATGTATGATGTGTGGACCTTGCCTGTGACTTAGCTCTTAAAATGGATTTTCACACAGAACTGTCATACTTAGAAAATTTCCAGCTTGCAGAGTGTGAAGTTAGGCCTATGCCTACATTTTGCAGAGGCCATATTGCACATTTATTTTTATCGTTTTCCATATATTAGGGACTGCATACAGACACCTCTATTTTTTGTCCCATAGATATTTTTTGTTTTCTAGTTAAGTAAGTTGGCTGTACATAGCTTAAATGTTTCCTCTAGTGAAAGGCTGTAATAGCATTTCTTTTCAGTGGATCTTTGATTATTTTTTTAACAACCCTGAAATGAGGTGACCAAATCTGAATCATGCATCTAATCATCTTGCAACGAATGCAGCATAATTTATGAGCACTTGAACAGCATTTCTCATCTTCAAAGCACTTTACAAATGCTATTAAGAACCTCCTTCCGTACTAGATATTATCCTCCCTGTTGCAGAGAGAGAGAAATCAACAGAGAGGACAAGTGACTTGCCCAGGGCCACAGTGCAAACTGGTGAGACTGCCAAACCTAGAATCAGTTTCTGCATTGACTCTTCACCTTTTTGCTTGAGATCTTTAAGTAGAAATTATCCGGAGTATTAGCTTCTAGAATGCACAACACAGCAGAAGTGTAAATATAACACCACGTTAAGGACCACTCCCATGTGTTTTTTTCAGAGAGAGTTTGACAGCCAATACCATTCTGATCCCTGGAAGTACAGGCAGGTTGTAAGTGACTCGCTTCCCCCAAAACAGATTAGGTAGGGAAATCAGAATAATGTAAGGTGGTTGACATTCACAGAAGGAAAACTCTAGGAAAGCAACTATGATATGGGAACTGACTTCACATGCACACAGCATAGGATAAAAATAAAGACGGACATAGCTTATGCTGTATAATCAATAATCTGCTTACAGCCATTAATATCCATCATATGAACAGAGTACTTCTGCAGAGCTTCTCAGTGGTACTCCACCAAAAAATACTAGTACCACATCACAATGATATGATATTGTAGATCCTTTCTGTTTGAAAGACAGCATTGTTTCCAAGCTATGTATCGCGATCACGGAGAAGTTTGGAAGAGGGTTCAAATAAGGTAAAGGAGAGTTTACACTATCCAGGAGATAGTGTAAACTATCATCACTGGTGAAAACAGTGCCATTTATCCAGGACAGGAGGAATGAATATTTGCACAGCTAATAACTATAGCCAGCTCTTACACTTCTGTCCTGAACTACCAAGGCTGATGTTGGCAATTAAAGATCATTAGCTTTTCCTAGCTAGTTTAGATACTAGCCAGTAAATAAAACCGCTTAACTCCCCTCCCTTGAGGTGCCCAAGTTGCTGCCAACTCACTGGAGAAGTGAGCTGAGCTTTACAATAATCGGTGTGTCCAAAACATAATGAGCACTTGTAGAGAGATTAAGAAAACACTGATGTAAAGGATTTCAGCACAAAGATTACATTGTCTTCTTTGCCTCTTCATTATGCAGTTATGTAACACTTTATGAAATTAACTATTTCACACAAAACTGCCTGGAAAAAGTAAAACAAATGAAGAAGGGGTGTGTGCATTCACTTCCTCTTCTTCAATGCACACCTTTGCTAGCACTCGGAAGGTAGCAAGAAAGCAAGCCCATTCCGCAGTGGCATTCTGTTGACCCAAATGAGAACATGCACCTGCACTTCAGGAATGGCTTTGTTATGGTTTGATTTTGCTGTACAAAGTACTTGCTCTTTGCAAAGTATTTCTGGTAGACACAGCATTTAGAACTGGTTGTAAGTTTCAGTCAAAACACATGAAGGATATGAACTGTGTTTTTTTAAAGTGCCTAGCACAGCACAAGTTGAGGAAACCAGGTACTGGTGTGCTTCAGATTATTAAATCAAAATCTTCCAAGTTTATAGTAGTTGCTCTGTTTGTATGTAAATGCAAATTATTTTGACAGAAGTTAATAATGAAGTTTGGTTTTTTAAACTCTACATTGTATTTGTAGTTCTTGCATTGTTCTTTGACAAACGGCCAACAGGATGACCGGTGGAGGAATGTTTATGTAAACAGAAGCAGCAGCACTATGGTATCATCTATTTTTTGTGGTCATAACACACAAACAGCAGCGCAGGAGGAGGAGGGAGGCAAGGATGCTGCCCTGAACATCAGCACCAAGGGGAGGCAGGGACAGCACTGCTGTCCGCAAGAAGTCAGCGCGGGGGCTTGTGTTGCACCTGTCAGACCAGGGGACCTGCAAGCACCTTCCTCCCCTTGCCCAGGTTGGGTCCAATGCGAGACCAAGGCAGGGTCTGTCCCAGCTACACTTGTCAGCACACCTCGCTTGGCGTGCCTCTGCAGATTGCTACTTGCAGCACCTGCCTTACAGAATGAGGCTTGTCTGTAACAGGGAGAAGGGGCTGGGCCAGGAAGACCAGTCCCCAGCCCAACCCACTGCAACGCTGAGCAAGTGCAACCCTTCCTTTTTATCTCAAAAGCTCTTTGCCTCAGTCCTCTTTGACTCCATTACTCTATTAAAAGCATAAATTCTTGCATGTGCCTCTTACACATACCATTTGCTTTCCAGCCTGGCTAGCCCCTAAAATGAGCTTCCTTGCTCTGGAGATGGGTTGGTCTCACCCAAGATTATAATAAAGTATACTAAACCTTGAACAAAACCACCTAGAAACTACGTCCAGCCTCCTAATCTGTGTCCGCTCTTCGCTGCACTAATGAGAAATTCTACTAAATACTCGTCTGAGCGTAGTTTTGCGTGGATACAATACAATACATCTTTCAACCAACACCAGGAAAGGCCAACTAGCTAGATACACTGGAGGCGAGGAGCTACAAAGAACCAGTAACTGTGCACAACTATGGGAGGGCTCCCCGTTTTCTGCACCCCTATTTCTGGAACAGTGCTGGTAGGAAGGCAGACCTGAAAATCCTCCTAAAAATGCATGCCCATACCTTAATTTGTCCCAGACCTGGCAAGGTAACCCCTCAGCCTTTCTAGCCTGAGCCTAGAGCAATACAAAACCTACTGAACCCCAAGCTTACTTCAAAACAGCAGTTTACTTTTGCTTTATACAAAACTGCCAAGAAACTTGTCAATTATAAAATAGCAGCCAATTCTGATATTTAATAAAGTATATCAGCTCACAGAAAAAACAGGACAGCTATGGAAAACAAAATAGTGAGGAGGTCTACACCTGCACGCTCAATTTATTGGTCCTGTGTTTAACCTCACTAAGGCAAAAAATACAAATTAAATTGCTTGTATTTCATAGCACAAGCCTCTAATCTCTGCAAGTGAAAGACAATTTTAGAAGGTTCACTTCTTAAATGAAACAAGTTTAAATATAAAACCAAATAAAACCGACAGTAAAGTGTCTCATACTGTGTCATCTCAATGTTTTCACTTTGCTGCAATGTTTTGCAATAGATGCACATAAAAGCACTGTAAAATTTACAGGACAGAAGCTAGAGGCTTTCACACACATGTGATTTTGTGGCACCTTTAAGCGCACTGAAAAGCACAAGAGATGTTTGGGATTGTGAAAAGAGGTTTATAGCAACATTTCTGCTAAAATTATCTATAACAGAATACTGAGTGCACTTAGCAGTTTAACCGAGTCATTAAAACCTGCTGAATAAAGACAGTTCCTGTCTTAGAAATATTGTTTCAAGCTCCCCCCATGTGACAAGAGATGACATCTTTTGAACCACAGACTTTTTCTCCTAATATGCCACATCATATTAGCTGCCTTGCAGGATTTATATATGATACATGCACATGTATGACATCAGAAAATAGTTGTTACAGCCCTGAATTTAATAACACATGCACATCCATCCCCCACTTAAGCACACAAAAACCCTCTCAGTGGCCTGCTCCTTCAAAAGGTGTATTTAAGTATAGGTGTCTCATTCTCCCTTAATTAAGGTCCGATTTTGGTAAATCCACAAAAAATTATTTCTGTATTTGTCATCTAGTACCACTATATCTTCATGTTCTCACTGCAGCAGCTTTCTTAGGTACTGTTATAATTAGGCACTGCATTCTTTCTTAATCCCTGAAATCTAAAATACCTAGATCTAGGGCTGCTCTTTTGGATTATGTTCCCAAATAGATTTTAAAACACCTCTTTAAACTCCAAGCGGAACTTGCTTCTACTTTCAGGAATCAGAATATCCTCTCAGAGACACAGATGAAAAAATCCAGACCTTCAACTCCCTTCTTACAGCGATACTTCCAATTCGACACAAAATCTTAATGGTTCACTCACGAACAACTGGCAACAGGGGGGGATAAAATGTATGTAACAGGATTCCACTGGCAGTGCAGAAGTTAAAGATCTTTAAAGATACTGCAGGAAAAAGGAACACCACAAACAGTGTTGCGGATAAGAGATTCTTGATTTACAATTAAATATATTTTGGAACGCAACAGCATTTATAGCAAACTTTTATTCAATAGTTTAAAAAGTGTATGGAAATTTTCATGAACAAAGAGTTACTCAATGGAAAATACCTTCTTTTCCCCCTTAAAAAGTTCTTCTGCAAGAACATCCATTAAATGCATTTACCGACAGTAATCAGTTTTAAAATGCATGGGTATTTTTGGATTTCTTGTATACATATATAGCATTTCCATAGTTAAGAAGCTACTGTCCTGAGCAGTGGATGAAGAGACATTATTTAAACTACCTAGTTACAGCACATTTATATAATTGACAACAAGCACAGAACAATTTAGACTTTAAACATTTAATGTGCCTTTTCATCAAGGAAGGCAAGTGGTAACTGTAGGACTGCTTAACACCGCGAGTGTCAATTTAGTATCATGTGTTTAGATCTGCAGTATAAAGACACACACAAAACATTTTTGTGGAGTACATTTTGTTACAATAAACCAAGCTTGTATTCCATCATCATGTGTGGTTCTCCCATAACTTCACTCTGTGAAGGATCTGGAAAAAAAAAACCACAGTCAACGGCATGAGGCTTTTACCAAGCTACAAAGACCAACAATAACTATGAACATGACCATTTCTTTTTTCCCTTCATTCTAATCCTTAGTGCAACAGTTACTCTACTGATTTTTGACAGTGTTGCACAATGCAGGTCTGTAACTCCTAAGTCTCTATCCAAAGCAATCATCAGATAACAAATACATCCATAGTGGAACAGTGTTTCATAAGGACACGCACACACTTCAAGTAAAACCAACCAGTTCTACATAAGCACAGTCTCCTATAGCTTGAATCTCAAGGCTGATTGAGTTTTGCGTTTAAGAAAACTCAAGTCTACTGAAGCTTTTCCTCATAGGTGCCCCACATCTTTTTCCAGTGCAACTTCTCTGCACAATAGGAGCTCACACTCCAGCCCTTCTGCTAGTTGGGACGTACTTGTGGTTTCTCTTCTCCACCTAACCACGTAGTTTCACAGAAATTCTATGCCCTTAAATATCTCTGAGATTTCCTCCATTCTGTAAAGTATGGTTGGCATTAGCCACTGTACTCTAATGTTATCAAGGAATGTACAGAGGACACAAGAGATACCAATACTGACAGTATGAACGTCATTTCCATACAAAAAATAAATAAAATAAAAATCAAGGCCAGAAAAAAGGTTGTGACTGCACTTGAAAGAAATACACCTTTCTTTATGGGTGTATTGGAGTGTTTTCCTTCTGTAAATAACGCATATTAATGCCTTTGATTCCTCCAGACACTAAAATTATCTAATCCAGCCCCAGCTGATAAATACAACCTTACCAAAAACACTTTTAACCTGCTCACTCCTCAGCACTCTATAAATATGTAACAGCTTGTTGTGAGCAATGGTTAATAACCAAATTCCTATAAATTATGTCTGACATTGCTCTACCCCTGAACCACAATAACCTAAGATTCCTTCCCTTGCTTCCTGTAAACCCATCCCAGAAAATAATCCCAGATTTACCTCATGCCTCTAGATTCCCACCTACCCCTCCATTATTTCCAGTTTCCTATCTACCTGTCTCTTTCCATTCTCCAATCCCACCTCAAAATACCCTCTGCCTCTTTCCATGTCCTTAACTACCAGCTAGAAAGAAATTATTTTTTTAAACTATTTTTCCAGGTTTATTCTATTCCACACATACTGTCAGCCAGTAGCCCACCACACAACTGCAAACTGTTGAGTTAATTTGAGGGAGCCTTCCCCCACCACATCTCTGGTTCATTAGTTCAGTATCTCTCCTTTAGCCTTTCTTTCTTTTTAATTATAGAACTTATACAAACTTTCTATCTTTGTAAGCTCCACCTGTCAAAATCTGCACAAGTAGTTCAAAAGTTTCTGGGGAAACAGGCATACAACATTAAGTGCATAATCTTCCACTCCTTTAGAAACCCAGCCTACAAGCAAATACTGGCTTTCTCAATATTTCAGAGTAATTTCCACACAACCAGCTGAACCACATTTATTTCTCCTTCCCCCAGTGCTTCTTTGCCTTTAGGAATTCAATTTTTTTCTTTGTATTTTGTGCATTTAATTCTCTTTATTCCATAGAGGCAAAGAACTTCACAGTTCCTAAGTTTTACCTTTACATGTTTCCATAACATTCAAACTGGAATGTATTTACCATTAAGGATATCCTCAAAACCGATGCATTCATCATTTCCCCTCAGAGTATCCAGTGCTACATTTGAGCTGTGAAGAAATGGGAGACGCTGGACCTGGGAAAAGACAACAAGAGTTCAAGTTTCTGCAAGTCTGAAATTAAGGAGGTTTATATTTGGATTTTTCAGTCTGAAGTAACTGAGAGAAGTGATTGTCAAAGTCATTTCTTCCTTCAAAAGCAACGATGAAATAAGAGAACTACTGGCACACATAGATAGCAAAACCTACCTAACACCACCATCTTCTACTGTTTATCTCTCTGTTGTGAAAAGAACAGCCTTTCACTAGATTTGTAGCTTTCACTGCAGTGTAGCTACTACAGCAAGTAGTGTAGTTAAAAAAAAAAGTAGTTTTTTTTTCTCCTCTGTTATCACATAAAGCTGGGGGGGCTCACTGCAACAAACACATCAGCACTCTGAGGTCAGTGTTGGGCAACTGACATACTGCAGCATTTGTAAATCACATTCTAAGTTTCCTACACCTCTGACAAGTCAGGAATGTAAGTGGAAGAGTTATATTGATTTTCACATCTAAACATAATCCTCCTTGCAATTAACCTAAATCATAATTATTTCTCTGTTCCCCACCAATTCTTAAGCTTCAAATCCACTCCCAGTTACTTTCAAGACTCTCTTCTGTACCCTTCACCCACAGTATTACAAAAAAATTTCAAGTGGTACACACAGCATTCGGATCCTAAATATCCTGAGAATGGTACATCTGTACTTAACAATTGCATTCACTACCAGTAGCGATGCTTCAGTTATACCATGAACATATTTTACAACCATAAAATTATCAAGTAGCTATCTCTTTACACAAAAAATATGTCAAAGATTTCCATAGTCACTACTGGTACAACTGTCAGAAGTTCAAATACACTACTCCAGTAAATATTTTAGAAAAGTGAAATTAAACCACAAGAGAACTTGTATATCCAACATGAAGCTGGCAGTGAAAAACCTTCTAATCACCATATTTCCCCCCCCATCCCCCAAGAATACTTGTGGAGACACACTAGCAGGATATCCTCACCTGCCTCATTTTCTGCCACATGCTAACAACAGTTAGGAAAAAGATTTTTCCTTGTAAGACAGCACAGCTGAGATCAAGGGATGTTTTCATACACCCTGTTTGACTTTCACCTCTTCAGGACCAGTAATTTCTGCCAAGTTTAATGCAGCTCACTGTGGTTCAGTAGCACCTGATCCACTGGAAGGGAGTATAAAATTGCTCCAACTCACTTGGAAAAACAACTCTTAATAGCTTTACAACCTTCAACAAGCCAAAAAAGTCTACTAGGACCAATGAGCTTTCTATGTTTCCTAAGGGACAAAGTCAGCCTCCCTCCAGTTACTCTCCATCCTAGGTGATAAGAAGGAAAAGAAGACAGACTCAGCTTCCCAATTAAGAGTTAAAACCTTTGAACTTAACTCCCTGTAGACCTCCCCTGATCTTACAAGAAAGGCTATGGAACAATAATAAGCACATAGCAAATTCTCTGCTTCAGGTTTCACGCTACCTCTATATCCACTCCCAAATCAGTACCTGCTTCAGATCCCTAAGTCTCTTTGCCCTACAGATGCACGGATTCCTTCCCATGAAGGTCATAGGTTCAGAGGAGAGCATTAATTTTAGGAATTAATACTCAAGTCCTCCTGCTTTTCTCTGAAGGCTTACAAGAAGCTAGTCCACGGAAAAGCTAGAGTGGTTACCACTCCACCAA